CAACAACAGCGTTCACTGAGGCAACAAGTGTCAACTAGTGACTAGTGCCATAAGTACACATAAAAAAAAAACAACGAATAACGAAATAATAAAAAACGAGATATACACATGGAACAGCGAGCTAGTCAAATAAGAGTAAAAGACGTGCTGGCTGGGCAAATGAATACAACTGCTCGTACACCCAAAGGCATTGGCCAGCACAAACAAATGTCCAACACCAGTCAAGATAATGGAGAAGTTGGGCAGTTGGGGCAGGAGATGGCATCGGGCTGGCATCGGGATGGATGGCGTCGGCTGTGTTGTGACGTAGTGCTGTAAGAGATTAAGGCATTTCCTATTTGACGTCAAACATGTTTTTAGAAGGTTTGCTCGACGTACCATTCTTTTATCTGGCTTCGGGCATTGTAATTGCGCACTCATGGACCAAGGAAAGAGACAAGAACAGAGAGATTGTGCGACAACAATTACCCCGCGGCTGCGGCTAGACGGTCAGCTACTCAATCAAAGCCAAAATGCCGACACAATGTCGAAAAAATAAGGTAGCCAGTGAAGCCGTCAAATTGTTACGCATAATGGATGTTTTTATCGGGCGAAATGATTTCTTGACTACTGGACTTGGACTTCGACTTGGCTAGCTCTTCAGCTCGGATTCGAATTCGGATATGGATTTAGATTCAGATTCAGAGTTTGGGTCTGCTTTGCTTGCTTGGCCTGGCCCTTTGTTTGGGCTCTTTGTCGGCGAGCTGTTGGCCTGGCTTTGATGTCAACGCTCACAGCGCGTGGCCATTGAACTTTTAAATAAAAAAATTGCATATTAATGAATTGTTTTAATAATTAAAACAGGAATGCCAAACTCACGCATAGCAAGCTGATTAGGCCAGCTGTTGATCACATTCGACGAACGATCTTGTTGTTACACATGCCATTAACACGCACAATTCGAATCATTCAACAACAACTCCACCAAGTGCCGGCTCAATGAGCAGTGAAGGTAAACAAACAAATATATTGTCCAAAAATATAAATACACAGTTATGTAGATATATGTTATATGCAGATTCTTTGGCTCCCAGAGACTGTGAATGATGTTGAAGAATGCCAGCCAAATAAGAAGCAAAAAAAAAAAAAAAAACTACTCTCCAGTAGCACTTGAATTTTGAATATATGTATAATATGTAATAACTGAAGTGTCTACACAACAGAAGCGCCTCTCAGCGCGTCGCGTCGCCAGCAACTTTAGCACTTAGGTTGAAGTCTGAAGCGCGTAAAGTCGAAACAGTCAGAGTCTGCCTCAGTCTGGGTACCGGGCTCGGTTTGGGCCTTATTTGCTTATGATAATTTGAGAGCAAACAGCGATCGACAGTGGAGCACAGGCAATGGTTGAGGATAGGTAAATCTTGTCTCGCCATAGGTCGTGAATGTGCAGAAAAACAAAAAGCGAAACACACGATTAAACACCTCTCAATTATATACACATATGCACATACATCGATGCTGTGGGGTCTCCGGGTGTGCGGGCCTGCTCGAACCATTGGAAGCCGCTAAGTGGGCTGCTATGGGCCATTGTGGTCGCCTTACCACACGAAGACCTACATGATTATGATGCCTTGGTCGCTGATTTTTTACTTCTTACCTTTAACTGTCCCCGAGCGCAGCTGGTGGCTGTGAAGTTCCTCTTTTACACTGTCCATACCCTGTTTAAAATGTGCGGGAAACTTTGCAGATGCGTGACATCAACTCGATTACATATAAAATATTAAACCATATACTTATTTTATGGCCAATGTTCAGCATGAAATCATCTTCCATCTCACGCAATGTACTTGATGTACCTGCACTTTATCCTAGGGTATCACTCAATCGAACCGTTTCAATAATTTATATGAAATTTTTTGTTGATTGAGTCACTTAATTTGCATACAAAAGTAGATTTACATGCCAGCCAGACAGTCGAGCGTCAACAAATAATCGCCGTGCTAGTCCAAGACAACGCCGATCCGTCCTCGTCATGGCTGTGTTGCTGTAACAATGGAGTATCATCAAGTGGCAGCTGTTAATAGTCGTCGTTCGGAGGCGCTGGGGGCTTGTTTGAATAACAAAATGTCGAATGTACGAGCAGCTAAAAGTTTAAATCAATAAATTTTGCAGCGGTTCACTTAACCCCTACAATGAAATATAATGAAATAGGGAAAAATACGGCTGAGAATTTGTTATATTTTCCATGGAAAATTACATTGGTTTCGTGTGGTATTATGCTAATTTTAATTTGAATAGCCTTCTCACACGGCGCGTGCTTATCGCAGTTTTGTGGTTAATTTCGCAAACGCAATTTTAACTCGTCAAAGTGCAAAGTCATGCAAGAGCAAGACTCACAAAATGAAGGAAGTTCAAGAATGTTTTTATAAATGCGCATTGTTTTCAAGGCTAGTTTTAAACATTTTTATATAATACATAACTTTTAAAAGTATGTGAGAAACCCAGGATGTGGAACGGCAGCTTCACGAACCCAACCTAAAGGCAGTTCGCTTACAAAATTTGAATAACTAGAGATGTGCATAAGTCGTGTTTTTTTCATCTCTAGCCCTTAAAGCATTATAATCTATGAAATACTGATATATGCTATTTTTCTGTTTGGCATTCCATTTTCATTTTACCTCAAAGTATCATGTCAAGTATCATGTCATGCATATCTGAAAGATAAGTGTGGTATGCAGGACCAAAATGAAATGTACTCCTGTCTGAGTCAACGGCTTGGAATGCGGCAAATAAAGTACCTGGGCTACCTGTTGGGCCAGCGATACCACCCCCGAGACAAACGGAAGTTGGCCAAAGAGCATTAGTCAAACAGCAGGCAGATAATTTTGGGCAATACCAATTAGCTTGGTGCTGACAAATTGCACAGCTATTGATGTGCTCGTCTCATGAGCTAGCCAAACTTAGACCCAGATCCGGGCAGGCAGGCAGAATGACCCGAACCCATGGCTAATTGTTTGCCTAAGGCATATGGAGTGAAAGAGACAGGAACCGGAAGCGTGCGCGACCAAATGTGAAAACACGAGGCATAAATTAACGCAGACGCACACACACATGGGTGCGGTGCGTAGGCGGCCCGGAACAGGGTATACGGTGCAGACGGACGGCGCACGCAATTTGGGCGAAACGCCAATGCCAACAGCCAACTGCTAATAGTAAATTAATTCCTATCGCTTATCGCCGCTGGCTGCCAAAACTCAAAACAAAAAACCAAGTGTATGTGTCAGCCAGCAAAGTGCTGTGTAAATTAGCTCGCAAAACTATTTATCATGCAAACCCAAGCATTTCGCAGTAATGCAGGACAGATAACAGCCAAAGCTATGGCAATGTTTAATTACCTGAGCTAGACTAACGGAAGTGCTTCTGTTTGTCCAGAGATTGGAGCTGCAATATTTATTGTGAAGCATGCAAAGATATACAATATGCTGGAACTGGATCCGAAAGCGAAAGTTTTCCAGTAACAATCGCACGTTGCGTATACTTAACACAAAAGTCAAAGTTCAATTAAATATCATGCTTAATTAAATTAGTTTTCAACAGTTGCCTCCTAAGCAAGCATATAGATTAAAATATATATACATTTACTACTCTATACAGATTAACGGTTTCTCTGCAACGTTGTGGTATATAATGTAAAAAATTCAAACAAAGCTATTTGGTTTTTATGTACTTAATTCCAAGAGATTTTATGTATATCATTAGATGCTGAAACCTTTCTGTATGCTCAATTAAAATACATAGTCTTAATATCAAAACACACAATTAAATAAATACTTTTCAAGTTCGTAGATATTATGAATTAAGTTGTCATAAAATTTATCTTTTAATTAGTTGTTTTTAATAGAATTTATATATTCTTAATACGGTTAAAAGATAGCGGATGCAATTAAGAGTTTAGTTATATTTGCCTGATCGTTTATATTAATTCATTATTAATTTTATTTATTATTTCATATCATGTCGCCGGACAGGCTGAATGTTCATCTATTTCCCGTTTGCCGCCTTCGCACCAATGCAATCGAATGGCCAGCAAATTTGTAGGCGACATGCGTTTCCGTGGCTTAACAAATGTTTTGTCAAGCTCAAAAAGGCCAGAACAAAAAGATACAAAAAAAAAAAAGAAAAACAATATACTATAATCAGGCAGCTGCATCTGCAGTGCTGAGCTCGATACCGTGTTCGTGTTTGAGTTTCAGTCCATATCGGTGCTTGGGGTACATGCGTATGCCGCCATATCAATGCCGCCGAATGACGCAGCGTCAAAACCAAAATCAAATAAATGAACAGCAAAACGGCAGCCACAGCAGCAACAACTCTAGAGAAGACAAGAGGACCACCATGATGGCAGAGGCTACAAATGGGCAAAGCATAAATAAGTATAAGAAAAAAGATGCCAAATGAAAAAAAAAAAAAAAGGAAAAACTAAAAAACAATTTCGATCATGATGTATAATTAAAAGGCAACACCAGCACGGCACACACATGCACACCAATTCACACACACACAAACACACACACACACCAATACGTAATACAGACAGCCCCGGCGGAGCATGTGGTTGTCTGTTTCAGCTGGAGCGGCTGCTGACTGTGCAACTTCGCACTTCAAAATCAAAAACAATTAGAAAAAGCGAGAGAGCAAGAGAGAGAGAGAGAGAGAGAGAGGGAGGCAGCGCCAGCAATCGATCTGTTGAAGGCGGAGCTAAAACAGTCTAAAGAACAAAAAAAAAACACATTTGCAGCTGGTGTCAATTTCAAAATGGAGGCGCCAACAAAGAGAGCGAACGCTCAGTGTCAGACAGAGATAGCTAACTGCACTCGCTCATTCTGCACGTGCTCTGTAACTAGGCAACCAATCAGAGCGCAGCTAAGGGCAACCTGCAAACGGCACAACATCTGAGCAGCTGAGCAGCTCAGCAGCTGAGCTGTGCTCACAACAGATCTCGCAGGCAATGTCGATCAATGGCTCGAACTCGTCAAGCTCGTTTTCGCTGAGCGTCGGCAGCGACATTTTGTTGAACTTGTTCAGTTGAAATGCGAACTTGGCGAGCGTAAGACGCCAGCGTCGGTATATATTTGATAGAATCCACAATACACGATCAACGCCTCAAAATCTGATTCCCAACTAGTTGTTGTTGGCATAATCAAATTAACACCCACATGCCTATGAGACATTTGCCATAACTACGCCACTTTGCCAGCTGTGATTTGCATAATTGACGCTAATCGAGAATTCGCCTCGTGGCCCTTGTGGCACAATAGAGAACTGAGAACTCATGCTGTCAGCTTTCGTTTATGTGTTTTGTTGTTATCTGTGATTGAATTGTGCCAAAATTTAAACAAATTGTTAAAGTGTGAAATACATATATATATCTACACACATACATATAAATACATACATACAAATCATGATCACCATGAACGAGCTCGTCGATCTGCGTATGCAACAGCATATTGCGCACGAGATCTACCGCCATCAGATAATGCAACGCATACCAGGTGAGTTGTGATCCGTCCTCACCCCCACCTCCGTAACCCACCCCCTGAACTCGTGCTTTTGGCTTTGTCGCAATTGGTGCTTTGTTGGGTTTGTAACCAGATAAGTAGCATCGGACATTGGGGCTATTTGCGTTTTTATGGCCAGCTTCCCATACAGCTGAGTAGTGTGGGAAAAGCGTTTGTCGATTTTGCATAAGCAAATGCGAGAGATCACAGCAGGGCACCTCTTCTGGTAACTGATAACCAAATGCGTTTTAGCTGTTGAAGCAGCTCATAACGCAGCTGGAAAATCACTTAAAAAACTATTTAAAATCTAGACTTGATTACATACTTTATAGATCAAGTCTGAAACGAGGTTTCGCATCAAGCATACGATCTTTTAATACATTCATCAATCAAAACCTTGGTTTATTTAGCTTGTCATTGTTATTGGTAGAAGGTATTTGTCCGCTTTGCTCACCTCAAAAAGCAAAAAGATGTCCAATTGTCATTTTACATTGACTTTTCAGAATAAGATTGATTGACGGAATAAATGAGGTCTTTTAAAATATTCGTACGCGTACTCGTTATATTAAAATGCCTTAAACTAATACTAATGTTATCTGACACAAAATAGTTAACCCCAAAATATAATTGCTAATATATATAAAAATGAAACTATCTAAATTAAACTATTATTTCCAAAATAATTAATTTGGCTTACGACTCGAGCCAAGTCCCTGTTTGGCTTGTGAACTTTGTTTTCCATACTCATAATTCCAGTTCCAGTTCGATATTTATGAACATATAGCATGATATAAATTTTCTATAGAAGTTGCTGCCTAATTTGGTTCCCTAACTAAACATGCCACCTTCCAAATATATAAATTTCTTATTTCAAGCCTACATTCAGCCTTGAATACAAATAATCCTAATATTTATGTTCACTGTCAATGTAGATCCATTTCCACCGATGCTGCCCATTCCGATGCCACGTCACGTGATAATGCCACCCCGTGTCGCGTTGCCCGGCGTGGAGATGACTCTGCAAAATGACGAGCTCTGGAAGCAATTCCATCAGATTGGCACAGAAATGATCATCACAAAGAGCGGCAGGTAAGATGTCAAATCTAAATCAATCTTTATATGAGAATGCTCGCTAAACCAACCGCAACAAAATGTTTTCGAGCATTTTTGGAAAGTAAAATTATGTCGCGCCCACAACAACTTTTGAAATGTAATGAAGCAGGGCCTTGGGTGTTAGGAACGGGCAAAGAGCAATGCATTAGCACGAATGTGAAAAACAATACCCAAAAACGCTGGGCAAAGAAAAACAACAACATGCCAATGGCATGGGCACTTAAAGCGCCGCCTCTGGCGCTGCTGGCCAGTGATGGAATCGGCTCTTAGCTCTCATCAGTCAGCACTTAGCCTCAGCTTCATTCCCGGCCTCAACGTCGTTTTCGTCGCCGTCGCCGTCGCCGTCGCCGTCGCCTTCGTCGTCGTCATCGACGGCGGCGGCACTGTTAAATGCTCATTAGATGTAGGCGCCTGCGAAATTGTTTACAGGGACGTCGCGACAACAATTTTCACAGGCAAACAAAGCGGCGGAAGGATGCAGGATGTGAAATCTGTGGCCAGGTATATACAGGCTGTACCGGCTGCCAGCACGATTCTTGATTCGTGCAATCGGGGCTTGCAAGGAATGCCCGGACCGAATATCTCGCGCGAGGCGTAAATCGAACAAGTTCACTGGCACTTTGCGTGTACAGCGTTCTTCTTGTCGTGATGGAAACTGAGCATGAGCATATCAAAGCGCTAGCGCAATCGCCCAAAGATATTGTATCTTGTATCTGTGGCAGTTACGTGAGCGCTCAGCAGCGATCGGCAGTAAACTACCTAAAAGTGTCCGGCACTTGCTCAAATGTGCGTAAAGTGGCGTCATCGTAATTTATTGTAGGCCTAGTATGGACAGAGAACGCAGTGGGACGTCCTTTTGGTCGGCGTTTTTAAGAGAGATGCCTCTTGGCTTGACCTGCCGCTGCCCCTGATGCCCCTGATGCTGCTGCTGCTGTGGCATAAATCTTAGCGTCAAGGATACTTTGTCGTCATCTTTGTTGCGTTCTGCGTTTTTATTGTGGCGCCTGTCTGCAGACGGCCTCAGATACACTCGCATTCGAATTTGTATTCGTATTCGTATTCAATTTCGTATCTGTATCTGCACGTTGCGCGTTGACAATGACCACAGCCTGTCGACAACGTCGACAGATACGAGCAATTTCACACTTTTGCCGGCGAGATGCACAAGTGCCGATAAGATCGGATACGAATACAGGGGAGAAGAATTCAGAATCGCTTTTGCTGCATTAACATAAACTTTTGGGACTGCCCCATCGCCGAAAACAGTTTGGACAGACAACTCTTTCTCCTTTGAGAAAGAGAATGTAGTTTGTATATGCCATGAATTATTCATAAAGTCTCCGTATTAAATAGTTTTTATGCTCATCAAAAATGTTTTATGTGAAACGCAGCCAGACAATGATGGCGTCTCTGCAGCCCTTGTGCATTCAATCGATTTGAATTTTTAATGATTAGGCGCCACAGTGCCACCGTGTGCTGTGCTGTGTTGTGTTGTGCTATGCTGTAGCATCCAATGCAATGCTCAACGCCAAGTGGCGCTCATAAAAACTAATTAGTTGCTTGTCCCAACTGTCCCATGACTTTGCCCAAGTCAAAAACTTCGAGATTGCATCGCATTTCGGTTCGCTTTGGGATCACATGGGTGGCAAATGCCCAGACGATCATAAAAGATAGATAGAACAAAGCATATCACATATAATGCATGCGTTTTTGAAAATGAAATGAGCCTGTCACGAAGCTTTTAGTGCGGACACGCTGATAGCAAAGGCCATGAGAATCGCTGGGAGAGGCCCAACACAAGAAATGTAAATTAAATCTTGCTCTCAGCGTAATACAGGTGAATCACTTTGAAGCGCCAGAACTGACACTTCGGGAACTATCGACAAGAAAGGAATAAATCGAAAAAAACAGTAGAAGTTCGCTTGAATGAAAATACTTATTGAGATCCAACAGATTGGCATTTCTGTGCATTATATATCAGCTTTACTAGCAGATTTTTAGAGATGGCTAACAATAATGATGTGCAAATGTATTATAAAATCAGAGGAAGTAATATCCCCATATATATATATATATATTATTATTCAGCATCTAAAATATTTACTGTCTGACTACACGTTCGCGGATTAACGATCTACAGGGTATAACATACACTCAATCAGTTTCAACTGCACCTGTTTGGGTGCAACCAAACTATAATGCTCAAGATGTTTTTTTCTTTGACGTCTACCATTCCTGCACAGTTCCTCGCATTTGTTAATTATGCGCAGACGCGCCAAAGATCAATATCTTAACAAATCGTTTGTCAAAAATGCACGAGCAACTCTTGGAAAGAATGAAAAAGAAGCAAACAGAACAAGAAAAATAAAGAGGGCAAATTGAAAACGAAATTCTAAACCGCACGAATGTCGAAATATTTGGCCATGCGTCGCAGTTGCCCCTGCTGCGATCTAATGAAATTCAAAAACAAAAATAACAAACCAGAAAGGGAATCAAATTAAATGTTGGCAAACGCACCACAACTAAGGTAAATTAATTAATCATCGCTCAGAGTGCACAACCAAAAAGGCAGTAAAAGTAAAAAATCATTGCCAACATATAAGGGTGATCTAGTAGGGAGTCTCCGACTAGAGGATGCCCCGTAATATAGCCCAAAAGGATTGGACATATTGGCATATCTCGGCCAAATAATGACAGTTTTTAAAATTTATACCATTTTGGACTCGTAAGGATCAGTACTATCGATTGGCACCAAGAAAACGAATATCTACATTTTGACCCAAATCGACCAAAAAGCAACGGGTTACATCACGTTTTTTGTCAAAATCGAGGTCGGATCGAAAATCAAAACTTTTTTCATGATTTTTCATTAATATCTCGGCCAAAAAATGTCAGATTTTATAATTATATACCTTTTTGAATTCGTACGGATCCCTACTATCAATTGGCATTCAACGAAATTAAAAATCGATGGGTAAATCAAAGTAATTGACCATAAAACGAACCGTTTGTAAAGTCAACCTTTTTTGAGGATTTTTTGGCATATCTCGGCCAAATAATGTCAGTTTTTGGAAATTTATACCATTTTGGACTCGTAAGGATCAGTACTATCGATTGGCGTCAAGAAAATGAATATCTACATTTTGACCCAAATCGACCAAAAAGCAAGGGGTTACATCACTTTTTTTGTCAAAATCGAGGTCGGGTCAAAAATCAAAACTTTTTTCATGATTTTTCTTTAATATCTCGGCCAAAAAATGTCAGATTTAATTTTATACCTTTTTGAATTCGTACGGATCCCCACTATCAATTGGCGTTCAAAGAAATTAAAAATCGATCGGTTAAAACAAAGTAGTTGACCGAAATACGAACCGTTTGTAAAGTCAACCTTTTTTGATGATTTTTTTGCATATCTCGGCCAAATAATGTCAGTTTTTGGAAATTTATTCTATATTTGACTCGTAAGAATCAGTACTATCGATTGGCATCAAGAAAACGAATATCTACATTTTGACCCAAATCGACCAAAAAGCAAGGGGTTACATCACGTTTTTTGTCAAAATCGAGGTCGGATCGAAAATCAAAACTTTTTTAATGATTTTTCTTTAATATCTCGGCCAAAAAATGTCAGATTTTATAATTTTATACCTTTTTGAATTCATACGGATCCCCACTATCAATTGGCGTTCAAAGAAATTAAAAATCCTTGGGTAAATCCAAGAAGTTGACCATAAAACGAACCGTTTGTAAAGTCAACCTTTTTTGATGATTTTTTGGCATATTTCGGCTAAATAATGTCAGTTTTTGGAATTTTATACCATTTTTCATGATTTTTCATTAATATCTCGGCCAAAAACTGTCCGATTTTATAATTTTATACCTTTTTGAATTCGTGCGGATCCCCACTATCAATTGGCGTTCAACGAAATTAAAAATCGATGGGTAAATCAAAGTAATTGACCATAAAACGAACCGTTTGTAAAGTCAACCTTTTTTGATGATTTTTTGGCATATCTCGGCCAAATAATGTCAGTTTTTGGAATTCTATACCATTTTGGACTCGTAAGGATCAGTACTATCGATTGGCATCAAGAAAACGAATATCTACATTTTGACCCAAATCGACCAAAAAGCAAGGGGTTACATCACGTGTTTTGTCAAAATCGAGGTCGGATCGAAAATCAAAACTTTTTTCATGATTTTTCATTAATATCTCGGCCAAAAACTGTCCGATTTTATAACTTTATACCTTTTTGAATTCGTACGGATCCCTACTATCAATTGGCATTCAACGAAATTAAAAATCGATGGGTAAATCAAAGTAATTGACCATAAAACGAACCGTTTGTAAAGTCAACCTTTTTTGATGATTTTTTGGCATATCTCGGCCAAATAATGTCAGTTTTTGGAATTCTATACCATTTTGGACTCGTAAGGATCAGTACTATCCATTGGCATCAAGAAAACGAATATCTACATTTTGACCCAAATCGACCAAAAAGCAAGGGGTTACATCACGTTTTTTGTCAAAATGGAGCTCGGATCGAAAATCAAAACTTTTTTCATGATTTTTCATTAATATCTCGGCCAAAAGCTGTCCGATTTTATAATTTTATACCTTTTTGAATTCGTACGGATCCCTACTATCAATTGGCATTCAACGAAATTAAAAATCGATGGGTAAATCAAAGTAATTGACCATAAAACGAACCGTTTGTAAAGTCAACCTTTTTTGAGGATTTTTTGGCATATCTCGGCCAAATAATGTCAGTTTTTGGAATTTTATACCATTTTGGACTCGTAAGGATCAGTACTATCGATTGGCATCAAGAAAACGAATATCTAAATTTTGACCCAAATCGACCAAAAAGCAAGGGGTTACATCACGTTTTTTGTCAAAATCGAGGTCGGGTCGAAAATCAAAACTTTTTTCATGATTTTTCATTAATATCTCGGCCAAAAACTGTCCGATTTTA